GTGAAATTCCCTCTCTTGACCAAAAAGGACTTCAAGCAACTAGATTCCAGCACAAGGTAGGATGAGCCAGGTTCACACCAGCGTCCTGCAGACTCATTGTATTTCTCTTTCTGTCCTCACCCCAAGAGCAGGTCCTGTCTATTCCGGGATGAATAAGAGTTGATGGTTCAACAACCCACTGTTTCCTGTAAATCCTGGATAAATTGTCTTTTCTAGAATCTTTGGCTCCTTGGCATCTCCACAGCCTCTTCTCCCAAAGCACAGACTTCTGGGGACCTGGATGCTGCAGGAGTTTGGTGAGAGCCAATGCTTTTCTCTATTTAGGGATAGGGAAAGATTAAGGTGCTGAATTGTGCTTGGTCCAAGTCTGGCTGGTGAGGCAGGGGAAGAGGGGTTTGTGTAGATCTCCAGAGTCCCTTAATGATGCCCCGTCCTCTTAGAGAACTAACCCTACAACCAGAAACTGACAAAAGACCTCTACACAGAGAAGAACGAAATTGGAACTCACACTAAAGATACATTTCAGCTAAAAATGGGCTAAAAAGATAATTTTCAGACCCCACAGCTGGGGTGCCGAAAGAGGAGAAACCCCAGGACCCCATCCCTTCAAGAGTCCACAGCTGGATAGAGGCTAGGGGAAACATTCAACGCAGATTCACAAATGCCAAAGAGACACTTGACAAAAATTTAAAGTCATAATCTTTGAGGAGGTACAAGAGGAACAGTGAAATATTATTTATTCTTGTCACAATGACTGGGTAATTTATTATTTTAATTATCATTATATTTATATGATAATTATAATTGTTTTCTTTTATAATTATTTTATTAGTATTTTTATTGTCTTCATGTATGTATGTACACCCTGTGTGTGCCTGTTGCTCTGTAGAGATAAAGAGGGTGACAGATTCCCTGGAACCAGAGTTACAGAAGGCTATGAGTCATCACGTGGGTGCTAGGAACTGAACCAGGTCCTCTGGGGGAGCAGTCAGTGCTTAACTGCTGAGCTATCCTTCAGCATCCTGACTGTTTATAAGACTAATTTATTTTACGTGCATGTATGAAACTTGAGTCTTCTGCAAGAGCAGCAGGTGCTCTTACCTATGGAGCCTGTCTCTTCAGCTCCTGAATCTGCAGTGACTGTTATCAGAAAGATGAAAGAGAAATGTTGTCAGAGATGTGGAGTAAAGAGATCCCAGGACAGCGTGGGTGATCGTATGACTTAGAGCGGATAACTTGGAGAACACAGTGGCAGTTCAACAAGTGAAAGACACCACCAGGTTTGTCCAGGGAAGTGAGATCGTTACGGCAGAGGGTTGCCTGTCCCTGGCTGTCGCTGCATTTTTGAAAAAGTCAAACTATGGAATCATGGATGGATGAGAAGCACAGAATATGTAGTACACATACAGCGGACTGGTATGGAGCCTTAAAAGGAGGGAAATACAGTCCCTTGTGAACACATGGAAGAGCCTGAATATGTTCTGTATAATGAGCCAGGAACAGAAGGGGGAATCCTGTATGAATTCACTTACGTAAGGAATATGAAGAAACTGAGATGACAGGAGAAGGTAGGGTGGCAGCGAGCAGGGAATGGGCTCGCATGCTGAAAGGCTGGCAACTGTCTGTTATGTAAGAGGAGCATTGAAGACCCGGGCGCCTACAGCAAATGGTAGTGTGTTCTACCTAGAGAGCTACCAAAGTTAGACTTCGTATTTGTGGTGCAGAGGGCTGAAGGCAGAGCCGAGGACATGCTGGGCAAATGCTCTGCTTTTGAGCTCTATCTCCAGTCCTCAGATTACTTTTTATTTGGAGAAGGAGTTTCGCTAAAGTTACTCAGGCTGACGTTGAACTCACTCGGCATTCCAAGCTTGACTTTGAAGTTGTGCAGTTTCTGCCTCAGCCTCCTGGGTACTGGGATTATAGGATGCACCACCAGACCTAACTCTAGAAGTAGGTGGTTAGTGTTCTTCACACAAAAATGACAGTTTCATCCTATTTGTATCAAATAATCCATAAGTTAATTAACTTAGTTTAACCATCTGATAATATGTACATATTTCATGTGGGTATTCTGCACTCTGAATACACGGCATTTATGTTAGTAAAGAAGAAAGGAAGGATGGAGAAAGACTGAGAAGGACAGATGGCTCAGCAATCCAGAGCACTGGCTGCTCTTCGAGAAGACCTGTTCCTAGCACCCACAGGGCAGCTCACAACCATTTGTAACTCCAAGTCAGATGTCCTAATGTCATCTTTTGACTGCCAAAAATACCAGGGACATTAGTGATTCACAGACATACATAACGGGAAAAAACATTCAAAAAATTTAAGCTATCACACACAAAGCACACTCAAACATGTTCAGAGAGCTAAAAATCTACAGGGCATAAAAGAATCCTGAGCATCCACACCGAGCTGGCAAGGATAGCACAAGTGACTCATGCAAGCTCGGTTACCTGAAGTCAGATGAGCTCAGTGGGGGTTAGCTCACAACAGGGACAGGCCTTTGGCCAAGACACTGAAGTGCCCCACCTTATCCTCCCACAGCTCTGCAGCTCCTCTTGTCCAAGGCTGTCTTCGCTGTCATTTGGTGTGAGAGTGCCCCCTAGCGTCAGTACAGCAAAGCAGCTGCAGTTCAAAACACCTCAGGCTGAAAGTTAGGATGAGAAAATTGATTTGTTGTTGGTGGTGATGTTTTCCCTTCACGGGAGCCTCTTTCTTATTGATTGGTATTCGTTTTACTGGATAAGGGGCTTCACTCGGACATTGTCACCCACGAGATGTCCTTTGGTCATGGGAACCCCTCTTTACTCTCTCTTCTCCCCCTCCCCTCCTGCTCCTCTTCCCGCCGTTGTGTGTTAATACCTTTTAGAGGCTTTATTCTGCATGTGGGAGCAAACACGCGATGTCTGTCTTTCTGCATCACTTCACCTATCACACTCCTCAGCTCCATCCATTTTCCTAACGATGCACTGCATTCATCGCTATGGCTGAATAAACCCCCAGTGCAGAGTGAGGATGTGGTTGGCTGGATTGTGCATCGCCAGCCATGTGTTCCCCATGCACGCACCTGCTGACAGGATCTTTGATTCAGCAGCTCGGCTGCCGTGCAGAGGAAGGTGACGCACGTGTGTGTGTGTGTGTGTGTGTGTGTGTGTGTGTGTGTGTAACTGCATGACTTAGAGACGTAGATTCTTTAGGTTATATACCCAGGAGAGTAACTGCTGTGGTTTTTTATTTTGTTGTTTTTAATAGAACATCTTTTCTTTATTCTTGGATAATTTCATGTGTGTAACAATGTATCCTGACCATATGCACCCTTCCTCCCCTTCTCCATTCCTAACTCTTTCCTGCCTTATCTTCTCTCTCTTATTAATTAATTAATCAACTGTGACCCCCTGAGTCCAGTGAGTGCTGCCTGTTGGACACGGTGTGATTTTGTTGGCTTGGTCTGGTGCCTGTACTGACAGTATGGGGAGTTCATGAGTACAGAGTTCTCCTCATGTCCTAAAGACAGCATTTCTTCATATTCCACCTCACCCTCTTGCTTTTACAATATCTTAATGGATTTATTTATCGTTATGTTCGTGTGTGTGTGTGTGTGTGTGTGTGTGTTTACAGAGAGGTCAGGAGAGGATCATTATCCCTGGTCCTGGGGCTGCAGATGGTTGTGCGCTGCCACTCAGGGCATTGAGGCAAACCTGAGTCCTCTAGAAGAACAGCAAGTTCTCTTCAACAGGACCCATTTCGGCAGCCTCCAGCTCTCAGCCCCAACATTCTTCATGTGTCGTCTTCCGCACTGGTCCCTGAGCTTGACATGGCGGGCCATATTTTTGTTCCATTTAAGGAAGGGAACTCAGTAGCCAATTCTTCCCAACATTTGAGCAGTGATGAGTCTCTGTATTAACCACTGACCATTGCAGAGGGAAGCTCTTCAGGCCAAGGTTGAGTGGAGTAGTAATTCAAGTTACTAGGGAAAGTTGTGTTTAAAACAACTTTTAAACTATTTTGGTATGTATTGGTGTTTTGCCTGCATGCATTTGTTTGCACCACATGTATTAGGTACCACATGTGTAGGCTGAGACTGCTTAGTTCATTTCCAAGCAGCTCCGACCCAAAATAATCACACAGAAACTATATTAATTAAAACACTGCTTGGCCTGTTAGCTTGGGCTTCTTATTAACTAACTCTTACATCGTAAAGTAACCCATTTCTATTATTCTGTGTACTGGCACAAGGCTGTGGCTTACCAGATAAAGCTCCAACATCTGTCTCCTTTGACAGCTACATGGCATCTCCCTGACTTTGCCTTCTTTTCTCCTCTCTCTCTGCTTGGAATTCCAGCCTTGCTCCCTCCTGCCCTGCCATAGGCCCAAAGCAGTTTTTTAAATTATTATTATTAACCAATGGTAATAAAAAAAATCTTCACAGCATACAGAGGGGAATCCCACATCATCTGTGCATGGTGGGAATTGAACATGGGTCCTCTGGAAGAGCAGTCAGTGTTCTAAACCACTAATCCATGTGTCCAGCCCTGTTGGATTCTGCTGACATCAGGAATACTGTCCTGGTGTGGAAGGATGTTGTGTGATTGTGTGCTCCTGTCGTCTGTCACGTAGAGCAGGGAAGAGAAGCTCCATTGTACAGTGGAGTTGCCCTGGCTGGGAATCTGAGAACTACTCTAAGGAAAGACGGAGACCAGGATGGTCACTTTAGAATATAAATTCACTAATTAAATGAATCATGAAGGAACCAAACAGTTTTCAAGACTACACTAATTGAATTTTTGAAAATATTTGGAAATGCCCAATACTAGACTGAGTAGACAGAAAAACAAACCTGTAAACTGAAGAAAAAAAAAAAACAATGAAACCAGGGAGCATCAAAAGGAGCTGCTGTTTTTAACTAATCATTCAATTTTACCGATACAGACTTGAGAGTCAGATGCTGGGGTGAAAGTCTACTAGCTTAGAGAGGCAGAGGAAGCACCCAACTGCTTCATCTTCTATCAGCATCTCAAAAAAGGAGTTTTCTATACTGTCAATTAAAACTCCTCCAAATGAATGTCCCTCCCTGCTACTTCCTGTGCGTCTCTCTCTTCCTTCATCCTCTCGACTCCCTCTTACTATCCATGGATTATTTTTTCCTTATCAACGGGTTGCTTGCTCCGCCTCTTGAACTATGGTTGATTTTATTTATTCCTGTTTACAAGATTCAAGCAGAAAACTCTTGGATTAAAGGTGTGTGCAAGGGCTGAGTCATGTCACAATGAGAAACAGGTTTTTCCAGTAAGTAATGCAATTTCGGGGTTCACAATGTGATCAAATAACCTACATGAGGAACTGAAAACAGACAAATAAACAAAAAAGCCAGAAGCCCAGTATTTTGTGGATTGCTATCACGAAGACTGACACAGTTTTTGTCCCCAGAAAGCAGAAAGTGTCAAAAAGCGGTTGAGAAGTTATTGAAAGAAACAATGCCTGCAAAGAGCCCAATGTCGGTGAAAGATGTGGACCCACAGACACTCACAGAGCCCTCTGGTCAACTCTCGGGAAATGTTCTCCAGAGAAGACTGCCTGCCAAATCAGGACGTTTGAAAAACTCAAGGTATGTGTATTAACTGATTTGTCATGGTGGGAAGAAACTGGGAAGCAGCCCAGAAGGAAAGTCAGAAACTCAGAGTCCTAGGACAGAGCAGAGCACTCCTAAGCAAGGGCACAAAGAAGACTTCACAGGATTAGAAACAAAAGTCCCGAGAAAATGAAAAGAGAAAATCAAGACCCCAGAGCCAAGAAATCACACCAGGAGGGAGATAAAGAGTGGGGAACCCCTGCATTAAAGGAACGCTGTGGTGTGCCCCATGGAGAATGCTCACCTCACAAATGCGAAGCCCTGAATGTCATCCCAACCACTGTAGGGAGTGGAGACCATGGGACATGCTCACACTCAGTGAATCAAGCCAGTCCCAGAGAGACAAATCTCAGACATTTCCTCTCAGTTGTGTTTCCTAGAGTTTATAGATTCTACATCCATAAAATCATGAGTGTGTATAAGACAAGAAAGGAGAGGTGAATTATTTAAGGGGCCATAGGAGACATCAAAGAAAGGTCAGAAGGAGAATATACTCAGTGTGCAGCATGTCCTCTAGGGGCTGGAGAGCTGGCTCGGTGCTTAAGAGCACTTGTTCTTACAGAGGACACAGGGCAGATTCCCAGCACTCTTATGGGGGCTCACAACCACCAACTCCAATCCTGAGGAATCCAACGCACTTTTCTGACCTCCATGGGCACCAGGCACACCTGTGGGGCACATACATACATTACATGCAGGCCAAAAACACATACGCATGAAGTAGTAAGATAAATAGACTAAAATTTCTAAATGTCCCTTATATAACACAGGGCCACGAATGATGAATATACACAAAGAAGTTTATTAGTTTAAAACGACTAGAAGAGGATCATATGTAATCATGACAACCAATGTGAAAATTTACCAAGTTCACAAGTTATTGTAGTCTGTTCAAAATTTGTCAAACAACCCATAAACAAAACATCGGGTCCGACCTTCACACTGACGCACCCAGAGCAGCTCAGGTGGCTGTGCTGTGGTTCTGTAAAGCAGAGCCGGCTCTCACTGGTTGGCTTCTGCTCTAATGGCTCCATCTGTTTTACAGGAGAGCAAGTGCTCCGAAAATGAGCATCAGCATTGACCAGGAGACGGACTATGCCGAAGTGGTTCTGTCTGTAGGAGAAATCACACAGGGAGAGGAGATTAGGAGGACAATGAACAATAAAGAGCTGAAAGCAAGAGAGGCCCACAATATCTCACAGGCTGTGTGCACTCTGCTGAATTCTGGAGGGGGCGTGGTCAAGGCTCGCATTAAGAATTCTAATTACAGCCTCATCAGAGATGGTGTAGGACTGGATTTGGAAGATTCTTTTCGTGAAATTGTTCTATTTCCTCATAAATACCGAGACTACATGCAGAACAAAGGGTACTTTTTAATTTTTGTGAAACCGTGGGTCCCGGATATCTCTGGTCAGCGAGTCCTTACCTTGAAAACCAATTTCTATGTGAGAAATTTGTCAACTTCATATGAAATGAAAGGTCCTGATGCAGTGAAGTTCCTCAAAGACAAGAAGAACTCTGAAGGGAGATCGTGTTCAAGACAGAGCTTGCCTGCATCATGTGACTCTGATGAATGCCTTGCCACGTTTTTTAACAGAGAAAAGTTGACCCTGGGGGAGACATTCTATTTCACTGAATCCAAACATGCAGAAGTTAAAATGTCCCCTAAAGAAAAAATTCTGGAGGTTTTCCCTAAAACTGTTTCTGCATTTGCAAACACTGATGGGGGATATTTTTTCATTGGTTTAGATTTGAAAAAAGAACA